GCAGAACGACTGGACTACCTTCATACTTCAACTCCCAAACCAACTTTGAAATTTGCCATGAACACCACCAGATCAAGTTCTGTGGTAAGGTTGCCATACGTCAGAACGATCTTCGACGGTTTTACTTACGAGAACAACCAGTGGGCACTTGGGTGGATCATATACCACCATGGACCACATTGGTCAAATGCAAGGGCACTTGCAATGTGAATATGGACCAATGTACTACCGGCCTACGTGATCCTCATGGGGTATTAATACGAAAACCGACCGAGATCATGGCCAACCACCGCCTTCTACTTACACCTTTTGTACGAAGACGAGGCGCTGGTCATCCTCAACATGCGTCGGTATGGAACAAAGAACTGCCCATGGCTGCACATTATATTTCAAAGATGCAGTCTCTTTTCGTCGACGCAGTACAGATCGCACACGATCTATTCCAGGTAAACCGCGGTCCCTTTCATGGTCGCCCTTATTACTCCACCGTGCTAGTCGCCAACGTGAGGGGATATGATTTGGACGATCCAACTATCCCTCGGCAAACCGACGGTTCGATCACGAGACCACCTTCGGGAGGGCTAGGATGTCCTGCATGCACGGATAATGTTAACACGCACCCCCTCACATGACAGAATCCCCAAGCATTGCAGGTGGCATGATACGGAAGACTACCATTGGGAATGTCCGGGCTGCAAGAAGAACTACGGCCAGAACAAGCCTGGACATGCACGGACACCTGGCAAATGCAAGTTTGCCAAACCTTGGTAGCTGCCCGACAATCACGGACAGGCACCACCGGCTCCTGCCGAACCAGCAGCACCACCACCCGAGGCACAAGCCGCACCACCACTTGTGCGGCTACGAGCACCAAGACCCGGCTCTAGAGCCGGACCCACAGCGGGCGCCAGCAGCCACGACATTACAGCAGGCAGACATGTTGCTGAACTTGCTGCAGGGCAACCTGTCTCGAGTGGAGCTGGCAGTTCGGATGACCACATCCGACTGCCACAGGTCAGAGTCAGACGTGGCCGACAGCAAGGAGGAGATCCACCTCCACCGCCACCAGCGGGTAACCCTGCTGCACGACCACGACTTCCAGACTGGTCAAGGTTCGACGTACAAATCAGTCTACGAAACTTACGAAGCCTTGACCCAAGCGCGGTAACACGCAAGCAGCGGAAGCTACACTTGCGTTGGTTCCTTGCGAAAGAGCTTATTAACCAACGCAGGTCTGGACAATGTCAGACTCAACCTGATTAAAGGTGTCTGCGACACATGTCAAGGGTGCAGGGCTTGGGACATGCCTGGGCACACGGTTATGCCATCTACTGCATTGCCTGGCAAGTTCAACGAAGAAAATGAATATGACCTTATGTTCTACAAACAAGAGTATAAGATATTTCATGTCATCGATCGTTGTGTTCGCTATGCTACTGGAATGGAGATACCAGACAAGACGATGACCAGTATCCTGGATGCGTACCGTCAGTGCTGGATGCAGTTTGGACTGCAAAGGTACTCTACTCCGAGGGAGAGGACGCCCTCAACAACGACACTGCGAAAGCAGTCCTTCAGACAAGGGCACTGAACTATGGGTACGTGCGCGTGGACAACACGCTACGACGATGGAAGCCAGAAATGGCATATTGCGCCATCTACTTCATGTCATGGAAGCTGAACTCAGCACCAATCGTGCATTACGCACTAAGGCAACTATCACCGGTCATCATTACTACGACGAAGGAGATTTAGTTGATTACCATCGCCCCACAACCACGAAGGACGACTGGGGAGGCTGGAATGGCCCATTCCCCGTCGCAAGAAACGATCCCGAGAGGGGTCAAGTCATCATTCGAGTGGGAAACCGCGACGTCCAGGTACAATACGGCGACGCACGACATTCACTCTATATTGAAGCTTTGATAGCCGGAGAATTTGGCTCCGACAACACTGCATTACGGACAGCGTTGACGTTCGTGGCAAGTTTACCTGCGGGGAGACCTGCCATGGCATGTGGCTGTGTCCCAACCAAGAAGGGGATGCTTCAGATGACAAGTGCAGGCTAACGATCTCCTAAGGCACATCTGTAGCATCAGAAACTTCTTCCGCATTGAGAGCGTAGTTTCGGTCAGGTTAGCCAAGAGCATCCACGAGCTACCTCTGGTGGCTTACGCTGACAGTTGCACGTTGGTCCACTACGACAACGATGCGAATCCAGGATTTCACTATTATGCAGCAGAAGGCACCGCTCTTAACATTCACGATATAACTGGACCAGTACATTCAAGAATCATCCACTGCCTGAAGTCCATCAAACCTCAGGCGGTCTTTGACCAGGATATGACAAAGTTTGAGGAATTGGCGGATGCACCGACACCGGACGGAACCGCAAGAGAAGCCCCAGAAGCCGGACCACCACGAGAGAATGGACGGCTTCCCACGACATGAGGAATCGGAGGCTGACCTCGAGGCACACGTTATGGAATACAAGATGAAAGGGAACTACTGGAGGCAACTCCATTAGAGGATCTTTTCACAGTACCCACACAGACGATTCCAGACAACAGCGCGCTGATCACTGTAGCTGAAGAACAGCGGGAACACCAGCCCAAGTGGGGACGCCCACACGACTCCAACATCGAGGAGACGTATCATGTCCCACTGTGCTCCACGGTCGAAGATTGCAGTTACGGCCAGGACTCATACGAAATTGGACAATATGTAGAACTCTGCTTCACGGCAGAAATGTCAAAGGTAGTCCTGTCCGAACAACAGCACAGGATATTAGATGCCGGCCGCGTGACCACCACGCGAGTATATGTTGCCGCCGCTGCAAAACGAGCTGCGGTCGCCAAGGAAGACGACCTCCTCGCGTAGGCGGACATCCAGGCGAATCCCGAGAAATTATCGAAAGCCCTATACACTTAACTCAAGACATGGTTTGGCAGTAAGTGCTTCAAAATGTTAGATATATCTACAGCGTCAAACATCCTGACTTCGACTTACGTGCACACATGGAAGTTTGCAAAGAACGAGAAGGACGAAATGGAACGCACCATCAGAATACGCTCGGTGCTTCGAGGCCCCATGGACCTTGAAGCCTTGGACGTGGAAACCTTCTCGGGAACAGCACGGCGGTCAAGCCAGAGACTACTCGCGAGCACGGCAGCGCGCAAGAAGCAATGGGCCATTGCTTCCCTCGACATCAACATGGCCTTCCTGAAAGGGCTGACCGACTAGGAACTTGCTGAGGCAACTGGCGAAAAGGAACGTGTGCTGCGTTTCACTCTGCCGCCTGGATCGGCCACGGCGCTTCCAACTCCCCGAGGATGCGAACGCCACGACGAGTCGAAGCACTGCTTGCAGTGCCTTAAGCCAGGCACTGGCACCAAGGACGCACCTCGAGCTTTCTCACTAAAGCTCAGAAGGACCACAAGAGGTTTTGGCATCAGACCCAGGTCCAACGACGAGGAGTTCGAGACGAGCAGCAATCTGCTCACGGCCAAGCATGTTGATGACATCAACATGGCCGGCGCAGAGGACACCATTGACAAGAACGTCAAGTGCGTAGAAGACACTTCTGGTAAGCGTAAACTCAACAAGCACACATACACCAATTGTGCTGTGAGTCATACCAAGGATGAGGACGGAAGTGTGACTTTGGACCAAGACGAGCACATCAAGCAGCTCCGTCCTATACAACATCCTGAACTTACAGGCGCCGACGCTGACGCCCAAGCATCTAAGGTGGTTGCAGACATGTTCGTCAGCCATAGAGGCGCATTGGCGCATGCATTAATCACCCAGGTGTGGTTCATGGTGTATGTTGTTGCTCTGCAACATGTCCAAGAACCGACCAATATACAAGTGCGGCGACTGAACGCGATCACCAGGAAACTGCAGGCCTGCCCTAAGAAGATCGCCTACCAGGCGATGACCCCCGCGGGCGAGGTTGACCTGCACAGCGACTCAGGTTACCGTCGCCTGAGCGGAGAAGCCGATGACGAAGTCAAAGGCCAAGGTACTCGCGGGGCAAACCTGCTACAGCGTGGGGAGCACGCCATCCGGTAAGCCCGTCGTTCACTTGATCGACGCGCACTGCAAGTCTCACCGCTTGCAGGTCCGCTCGAGCTATTCAGCAGAGACACTAGCAGCAGCCCACAACTTGGAGGACTGTTATCCCACGATCGTGACTCTGCACGAGCTCCACGCAGGGCCGCTAACTCCCACTCGTTTAAAGAACATACTTGAGTTGGGTGGCCTGAGCATCACGGTCACTTTGACCATAGATGCTGAGTTTGTTTTTAAGTCCTTGTCAAGCAAAGACTTGAAGAAGCCGATTGCGTGTACCCTTTTAGGACACATCAGCTGGATACGACAGATGGTGGAGCGAGGAATCGTGCGCAGCATTCAGTGGTGTGACACCCGCGATACGACTGCGGACGGTCACACCAAAGGGAGCATCGACTGAGAAAGGTTCCTAGAGGTCATGGGAGGTACACAATCCTTGAAACATGTCTTTAAGCGTCATACTCCCTATCGGGCTGGCCAGACATCCCGTTCTGTAGCCGCCTGAGGAGTACTCGTTTGAACAGTATGGTGCAGGCAAGGCAACTTGCGTGCGGGTCCACCTTCCTGGCGGCCCCGCCCTTTTGCTGCCCCTTTTGTAAATAGTCGCTGCTGTACCTGCTGTATAGAGGCGGCGGGTTCACGCTTCGTCTCCCTCCCCCCCGACTCTAAGGTGAGCCCGGTGTTGAATGTAAGTGGGAACGAGCGTGCATCCGCGGCTGCTTGGCTCAAAGCGGCTGGCCGCCTAGATCTGACTACACCTCAGCGCGATGTGTACCGTTTGCCATCGATACCAAAGCTGCTTGAGATGACCCCCCCTACTACTGGGACTATCGCTACTACGGCACAACAGAGCAGGAGCTGGGCTTCGCCTAAGTTGGAGCTGCTGGCTGGGCCTCCCAACCCCTTTTCAAACTGCCCCTCCCCAGGTCGGCAACATGACGCGGAGGTTGACCCGCCTCTCCGAGGAAACGCCGCAGGGAGCAGGCCCGCCCGCGCGGGCCCCACGCCCTCGCCGCCACGATGAAGAGTCGTGGCGTCGGATCTCCGCAGTCATGACAGGGTCATCGACAAGGTCAGCATTCTCCTCCTGTTCGCAGTTCACTGCCTTCTCCTCTTCCCCATCAGCCATGTTGGCTCAAGCGCAATTTGCTTATGCCTTTGCCATGTGTTGTCTTGTCTTCTGTTCACGAAGGGTCATTCGTGGGTTCGAAAGTGGGTGGCTCTTCTGCCGCCCGATGTGTTTCGCCACTGCGTTGCCTGTGCTGGTCTGCAGTTGTTTTCTGGCGGTTATTTGGGCGGTGACGCATGTTCCCACAATGAGTGCATTTGGCATGGAGTTGCCGTCGATCTCTGATGCCCTCACTGCACTTCGGATTTGGATGTGGTAGGCTGTTCATGTCGCGCTCACCTGAAGTTCAATGCCGCAGATGGCCTGGCGAAACATCCAGAGCGTCTCAGACTCGTGTTCAGTGCTGGGGTGCATCACCTGAAGCAGTATCGACTTGATCTGGTCGTCAGGTGGAAGCAAGATCTAAATCTGGACCCCTCTTGGGGCCTTCTTCTTAGGGGCATCTTGGCCCGTCTTGGGAACCTCGTGGGGACCTTGAGTCGTATGGGTGCCCTCGGAGGGCCTTATTGGGCCGTTTTGGGCTGGTCGGGGGAGGGGGGAGGGCATCTGCGGCCGTCTGAGGTTTTCAGACGCACGAATTATCGAGAACGCAATAATGTTCGAAAACACTTGGAGAAAGCACTTTCCTTCGAGGGATCCCCACCGAAACCTTCGGCGTTTGTTCCCAAAGGTGCGCGCGCCTACTGGAACGATGTGCGCGGGGTTCGGAGGTCTCGGCCAGTGCGGCGGCGGGGCCAGATCGCAAGTTGATGTTTCCCGAAAGTCTGACAACCACAGGGCTCCTCACGAAAGGACCCGAAACAAGTCATTTCCCTGGGGCGGAGGCGGGTAGGGATGCCCAGCTGCGGACCATGGTGAAGATCCCGTGGCTGGCACCAAAATCCGGGTCCTGGTGCGATGCGTCTGACCGCCAGCGCCTCCAATTCCAGGACCTCCGCAGGGGGCTGCAGCAACCGCGCGATAAATAGGAAGACCGGTAATATGTATGTGTTGTAGGTCCGGATCGACGTCGCGAGCCCGAGTTCTGACCATGGCCACTCCTTGAGGCGTCGCACCAACTTGCCTCGCGGACCGTCCCAAGATAAGTTGTCGCTGCCCGGCCCGATGACGAAGCCCAAATATTTCGCGTGATCTGCCCAAGAGATGCGCGGGTTCGCCTCGTCCTCCTCCTCCACCCTGGTCTTGACTGCCGCCGGGGGCTCTGGCCACAGGGGTATGCCCACAGTCTTCGCGAAGTTGAGCTCGAGAAGCGAGGCCTTTCCAAACTCTGCGAATGTACTGAAAAGGCGTTGCCCTTCCGCCCGCCACGAGGAAAGGACAACGGCAGTGTCATCGGCGAACGCCCTGAGCACGCTCTGAGGGATCGAGGTCTGGATGGGGCGAAGAAGAAGGAAGAGGAAGAGGAGGAGGAGGGTGGAGGAGGAGGAGGAGGAGGAAGAAGAAGAAGAGGAGGAGGAGGAGGAGAAGAAAGGAGGAGGAGGAGGAGGAGGAGGAAGAGGGAGATGGTCCGGAGGAGGCTGTCACTAGAGAGTGCAAACAACAGTGGTGACAGCGGGCGCCCTTGGCGAATGCCGCGCTCCAAAGATATTCTCCCGAACTTCTGGCCGTTCAGCACAAGGTCACATGTGGTGTGAAGGTACACCAGATTTCGTAATAAAGGGAGGGGGGTCTCATTTCGGGGGGGGGTCTCTTCCAGGCTATCTTGGAGGGCCTAGGGGGGTCTGGGGACGATGTTTTGGAGGGTTCTCCCACAGGGGGAGGTCTGAAATGGCTTGTCCTGGAGGGTCCAGACCCCCTCCCTTTTATTACGAAATCTGGAGTACAGACTCTGGACTGCCCGCATGGCGCTGGCGGGCAATCCCGCCGCCTGCAGGGACGCCATCAGAAAGGACCTCGATAACGGCGGAAATGCTGCCGAAAAGTCGAAAAGCACAGTCGCGGGGTCCTCGAAGTCCAACGAATAGCGCTGCGACGCATCCTCGATCTCGGCTATGTTCCTCAACATGCTCCGGCCTGTGATGAAGCCGCGCTGGGAGACAGTGACCAGGGACGAGATGAGCGGCTCCCACCTCCAGCGGAAAGCCGCGGCGACGATGCGATTGTCGGCGTTGGTGATGGAGAGAGGCCTTGTCTCCGCGGCCGTGTGGACGGGTTGTCCACTGGGGTCCACTCTCGATGCAGTCTTCGGGAGGCAGACCATCAGGGCCTCGTTCCATCCATCCTGGGTGTGCTGCACGCTCAGGCTGGAGACCGCGTTCAACTTGGCGCGCCACCCCGAGGAGCGTCTCGAGCCCAAGATTTCCCAATACTCTCCAAGCTGCAAATGGTATCCCATCAGGTCCAGGGCGGCTGTTCCCGGAGAGGCGGAGAGCCCGTGCGACATCTCGTCGCCGTATCCGCCACTGACTCGGTGGAGCCGTGGATGTCTTGGCCCCGGCCGCCTGCGCCAGGTTGAACCAATGCTCTACCCGCGTTTCGTCCTGCTCCGCGTGGCCGAAGACCTTGCCCCAGTGCTCTTGCAGCAGATGAGCAATGCGCTGAGGATCCGTGGTGGGCTCGTGCTCTGGTCCCTCCATGGCCTGGATGCTGGTGGTGTGAGTGCGTCGTAGAAGACGTGCAAGTCTGCCCTGGATGTCGTTTCTGCGGGGGCGGTCCGCCGAAGGCTCCGCGCTTTGCGCCTGCTCGAAGTCTTCCCGCATATCCGACGCCAGCTCGTTCTTGGTCAGCGTGATTGCTGTGTCCTGGAGTCGTCTCGTAGCCAACTGCAGCGTCACCCCACTGCTCTCCAGATGAAGTTCGCGAGCCCAGTGCGGCGGAAGCGCGGCCCGGAGACTTGACACAGTCTGGATGCGCCGAAGCCGGATGGCCGAAAGAATGCGGAAGGCCGTCGCCGATGTGGGTGCGCCGGAGGGGCCCCCCAGGTAAGCGCGGCCGGGCTTGGTCTCAAGCACGGCGTCGGTCACCTCGCGCATGGCGTCCTTCGTTCTCTGCAGCTTGTCCATGGCGTCCAACGGCGCGCGCTCGGCGTAGTGCGCGCGCTCCCGTGCAGAGTGCCGCGCGGGGCACGCGGCGTGCCCAGTCTCCTCCTCCTCCTCCTCCTCCTCCTCCTCCTCCTCCTCCTCCTCCTCAAGATGGAGTGGAAGCGTTAGCAGAGATGGGTCCTTCGGGGGGAGTCGCCGGCCGAAAGGCGAGGGCGCGTGGTCCGAGATCGCAGCGTCGAAGCCAGGCCGCGCGATGAAGAGCGTGCCGTCGAAGAAGTCCGCGTCGTGGCGGTTCGTCAAGATGCGGTCCAATCGCGCCGGAGAGGAAAGTGTGCGATGCGTGCGATTTTCTTGAAAGAGCTCACGGAGCCCCGCGCCGCGCAGAAGATGTTGTTTCCAGAACGTCGCCTCTGCCTCATCGCGATGCCCCGTGAGAGTATGACTGCGCGCGTGGTAGCGATCCTCGTCCTGCACGACGTAGTTCCAATCTCCACCAAGTATGTGTAAGGCGTCCGGGTGTCGATCGAGCCATGCCGCCATCTTCCGCGCAATTCGCTGTCGCTCAGCGGCCGCGTGGCCCGTGGGCAAATAGACGTTGACAAGATTGAGATCACCTTCAGGGCCGTGCAATCGAAGAATGCCCACCCTACCTGGCTCCAGCTCGATCCAAGACGTCGGCGAAACCGCGCTGAAATGGTTGAGAAAACTATTCTGCACCAAAGTCAACAAGCCGCTTTGATGCCGGCTCCCGTGTCCCCAAAATGGCGCAGTCCCAGCCGGGGTCTGAAATGCGCTGGCAATGCCTTCAGTCCCGTGCACTTCCTGTAAGAATAGAAAATCATGGTTGCGAATCAATTTAATCATCTGCGTTCTCTTCCGCGCTTGCGCTTCCAGATCATATGCCAGAAGGCCGCGTGCGTTCCAGCATGCGCCCCGGTATCCGCCACCGAAGGGCAAACGTACATTAGACGACGAGCGAGAGGAAGAACGTCTCGGTGTAGGATCCCAAAATGGGCAGCCGTCCTGGTCCATCGGAGGGGGTGCAGGCGGCAGACGTCGTGGAGGACCGGCTGGAGCAGGAGAGCGGGGTAGAGGCCGTCCCCAAACCACCGTTTCCAAGTCCTCGGTGGCAAAGATCATGCACTTAATTGCAATCCCCGCAAGTGTCGAGGGCACCCACCCCCGAGGCTCGTGGCGACCGTACTCCTTGCGCTGGTCCTCAAGCCCGGAGCGAAAGACCTGAGGTGCATCCCATGGGCTGTAGGTCACGCCCGTGGAGCCCGGGCAGCCCGCCCCGCGCTCCGGCGATGACCCCCCGAGCCCTGCGCGTTCCTGGCCGACGAGACCTGTAGGTGCGCGTACTCGTGGCGGAGGTCCACTCCCAAGCGCGTAGTCCCGCCCGCGCCCGGTACGCAGCAGTCGTTGAGGCGGGACGCAAGCGCGATCGCCTCCTCCGAAGATGCTGTGACGACCACGATGCCCCCGTCCCACTTGCCGAAAGGGTTCGGGATCGGCGTCAAGGAGTGTCGAGATGGTCGTGTACCTAGCGCCTGGGCCGCGTACTGGATGCCGGGTCCACTCCTCCACCCTGTGGGCCAGGACGGTGAGCCAGGCGCAGGGGTCCTCCGTGGTGTCGCCCTTGATCTGCACGTGGATCTCCGTGCGCGATGGGCCTGCAGCCGCTCCCCAATTACTCCAGATTTCGTATTAAAGGGAGGGGGGTCTCATTTCGGGGGGGGTCTCTTCCAAGCTATCTTGGAGGGCCTGGGGGGGGTCTGGGGACGATGTTTTGGAGGGTTCTCCCACGGGGGGGGGTCTGAAGTGGCTGGTCTTGGAGGGTCCAGACCCCCTCCCTTTTATTACGAGATCTGGAG